CTTTCACAATACAGGGGATAGTTCCAGATATTGTGATAAACCCACATGCATTTCCTTCACGACAAACTCCTGGTCAGCTGCTAGAGGCGGCTCTTGGAAAGGGGATTGCATGCGGGGGATCACAAAGATATGCCACGCCTTTCTCAGCCACATCTGTTGATGCCATAACAGAGCAGCTGCATAGGTAAACTCTATATTTGAAGTGTCCTACACGTTAATCATAATGCATATTTAACTAGTAATTGGTTTTTTGTTGTTGCTCCATATTGAAAATTGATTCATGTTCTCGTTCATATGCATATCAGAGCTGGATTTTCAAGATGGGGGAATGAGAGAGTTTACAACGGTCGGACTGGCGAAATGATTCGTTCCCTTGTGTTTATGGGCCCAACATTTTACCAGCGCCTGGCACATATGGCTGAAGACAAGGTGAAATTCCGAAACACGGGGCCAGTCCATCCCCTTACCCGACAACCAGTGGCAGACAGGAAACGATTTGGGGGGATCAAATTCGGTGAGATGGAACGCGACTGCCTTATAGCCCATGGTGCATCAGCCAATCTTCATGAACGCCTGTTCACACTCAGTGACTCTTCGCAAATGCACATCTGTCGGAAATGCCAAAACATTGCTAGTGTTATCCAAAGGCCAGTGCCTGGTGGCCGTAAGATTAGGGGTCCGTACTGTCGGTTTTGTGAAACCGTGGAAGATATTGTTAGGGTGAATGTGCCTTATGGGGCCAAGTTGCTTTGTCAGGAACTTTTCAGCATGGGCATATCTCTGAAGTTTGATACTGAGCTATGCTGAGCCTGAAAAACATCTCTTATTTTTGTTGGAAATAGGTGGTCTGTTTATATGTGAAGCAAACATGATCTGTGCTGGGTTTTGTTCAACATTTTGGTGGAAATCTGTTAATATGCGTGGTAAAAGTAATTTATTTTTGGTTTCAGGAGGCAAATGGTATAAAATTACGTAATATCGTTTGTTGCAGGAATGACAAATAATTGGTCTTAAAATGTACGTTTGCTTATCTGCAGGTCTTGTTTGTTCTTACCTGTGTTAATATATTTTTGTTTTATGATTTGTTTGTTTTAAGACCAAGCGGCATTGATGTCTGCATGCTGAGACTTCCCTAATTAGGAAAAAAATGAATCTTATTGGTTAAAATTAATGCTATTTTTTTTTTTGTTAAAACTAGCAATTGTTTACCCAAAAAAGAAAAAAAAAAAAAGTAATTCCGGTTTGGGAAGTGTTATGGTATTATTTTTCCTGATATTGGTATTCAAATTTGGCCCATATCATGTTTGGGACTACTGGTAGCCTGGTACCGTGTGTTTTGGTACTGTATCGAAGAAATTAAACAAATTTTGGTTACCAAACATGATTCCGATTTCTACTTAAAACACTCCTATAACAAAACGGTTATTTTGGTATTGTCCAAAAACATAAAGCAATGATATCATGTATTTCATTCAGTAAACATTTTGGCTTTTTTTATATTATTTTAATATTTAATATCCGATGTTTAAAATGTATCTAGGTCAGAAATTAATTTAATTTTACACTATGTTTAACAAACGTAGACGAAATGGTACGCTGAAGTTTGAGATCCAAGAACACTCATTCATACATCAATCTCATATATATAAATATAATAATGTGTGCTTGCATTGCCAAGCTTAATTTGACTTGAAGCAACATTCAATTACTAGTGGTTATTGCATTGATGTCAATGACTTGATCTACAAATCAAATTATGGTAGGAAAAGTTAGATTAAGCCATCGTGTGTTACATTGGTTGGAAAAATGTAACAACCAAATCTTCACTTTTTATTGATGATGTGAAAAAAAGAAAAAAGGTATAAGAAATTGGTACTTCATTTTTGCACTACTATACTTATTTTTCTTTAGAAATGACATAATTGCTTTTATAAAAGACCATCATGTACTATAATTATTAATTCTTTTTTTAAAAAAATATATATTATTGTCTCCATTTCGAAGAGGTAATTGTATCATTTATCTATTAGAAAAATGAAATAAATTGTAAATATAAAAGTGGAGTACCCTAATATATCGTTTTTAAAAAATAAGTGTATCCTATAATAGAAATGCTTATTAGCATGTTCTTTAAGACAGCATAGCTCTTAGTCATAGGAGTTGTCGATCTGCACTGAAAATTACTGAATATATATATATATATATAGACTTATATTTTCTATTATATTTTCACAATAGAAACTATTGTGAAACAAGGGTCCCTTCCTCATGAGGATGACATCCCGTCAATATGATTCAATGTAATTAGAACACATTTTTAAAAAATAAAAAAAGTTCAATGATGGACATTACCCATTTCTTACAAGTTAACTCAATTTTTTTTTTCCCCTTCTTTTTTTATTCTTTCCATAACCATTTTTTATTTATTTATTTTTCTTTCCTTATGAATCACGATCATTAACCTCTCTTCCCCTCTCTCCACAATAAAACAAATCATTTTTTAGCCCTAAGATTGTTGTATAATTATAATTTTTATTTTTTGTTTTTTATTATTTTTATTATTGCAAGTTTTATATTTTGATATACAATTATTCAAAATTACAAAACCTCTTTGCTTTATTTAAAAGTTTTGATCAAACTCCATGTGAGAGGTGTTACTAATTGAGAGGATATTTCAGATTTAATCCTGTTCTGTTTCTAATTTTGTAAGGAATAAGGCACACGTTTACTTTGCAGTACTTCACATTCAATCCTATTCTGTTTCTAATTTTGCAAGGAATAGCTACTTAATAACTGACTATAATATTTGTGTAATTATGTTTGTGATGAAAGAGGAAAAGATAGATTTGCTTTGTTGAGGGAAAAAGAGGTAAACGATCATCATTAAGAAGGAAAGCAAAAAAGGAAAAGATAAAAAAAAAAAAAAAAAACAGTTTAAACCTTAAAAAATGATAATTTTTTTAAAACATGTGTTCTAATTACATTGGACCACATAAGTTGAAGGATGAACTTCATCTTACCAGGGAAGAACCCAAGCATTGTTCTATTTTTTATATCATTTATATATTTGGAAATTGAATGATTCTCATTTGCTAGTTTGGAAACTCATTTCACATGGTTTTGTGACAGAAAAATAATATACATTTGGGCTTTTAAAGAAAATTTTGACATCACAAAGCTTTTTATCAAATATAAAAATTGACATGTTATGTATTGCTTGTGAGTAGAGATGAAAATGATACAGTAGAAAATATGTATTTTATAAAAATATTTACAAAAAAGTGCTTGGAGTTTTGGCGGTATTTTACTCCTTTAATAACCATTATATTTTTTTTTACCATCAATAACGATGATTTAGTAGTTCATCATCTTTCATAGTGGAAGGTCAAAAGTTGTTCAAGTTTTCATCCAAATATAGTGAATACATGAAATATTTGTCAAGATAAAATGAATAGATAAAAAATAAAAAATAAAAAATAAAAACACTTTTTTAACAACACTATAGTAAAAAAATATTTTTCCAATTATTTGAGGGTGGGCTACCTGAATCGCATTTTTCTATTATGCTTTACTTAACACCATAGCCTCCTGTCAAAGTGCTTTGTTACCAAATACGTGTGAACTAATTTGTCATGTCTACACTTGCTTTAATTCTATTTACAATTGGGTTTTGGAACTTCTTATCAAGGAGTAAATTGAGTTAAGACGCTGTTTGACAACTCAATTCAACGCTTAATTATGAATAGATTAAGCACTTATCTAATTAAGTGAATTTGATAATGAAATTTTGATATAACTGAAAGGAAAATGATTCTTACATCGAATAATTGCAATGAATTGCTAGACTTACTCTAGTAAGTAGTCAATTATGCAACAAATAAGGAAATGAAACTCTTCACTTAATTGTATGTGATATAAATAGTCTATTAAAACTTATTCGATTAGACAATTCATTCTGTTCGATGTGAATATTACTACTCTAACTGAAAATGATAAACACAACTTAAAAAGAACAATACTCTACACGATAAATATCTACTTACCAAATCAGAGATGGTGACTAGTGATGATATAAATATCTACTTACCAAATCAGAGATGGTGACTAGTGATGATATAAATATCTACTTACCAAATCAGAGATGGTGATTTATTATTAGTCCACGTCACTAGTGAGGACCCAAGTATCCTTCACTTACAAATATGTTAAAATTTTAAGTAATATCATATCACTTATTATTAACATGACATGATATCATTTACTACTTAAAAATAGGATAAAATTTTAAATGATATATCACTTATCATTAACAATAACATGGCATGTTATCATTTATCACTAACGTAAAATATTTATTTTTTAATTACGAATTAAAAACTTTAACTCTTAAAAATCAACTCATAAATTTTTTAATATATAAAACGGCAAGATGGTAGGAATTTAACTAGTTGGTCAAAAGGAAAGGAGTAACAAATAAAGGTTCAATTGGCCCCTCTCAAATATTATCAAGGAATGAAATGCGTGGGTTGATCCAAGATATTCTTAGTGGGCATAGATGGGTTAGAATTTTCCTTGATAAATTAATCATAAATTCAAGCTAAAACTGATGATTAATCGTGAAATAAATCTGACTTTTGCTTAAAATTCGAACAAAATCAATTATGAAATAAATTAACCTTTGCTTGAGATTCAATCAAAAGCAATTATATTTTCGTTTATTTTTATTTTTTTCAAAATTATATTTTAGTTTAATAGGACTTGATTTGATCATTAGAATCAGATATACATGTGTCCATGGAACACAAATGTAAAACTTACCACTAAAATATGAATATGAAATCGAATTTAGATGATTTGGCTTTGAATTTGGATAGAACCCGGCCCGCTTCCCTGGTTAATATGATAGTCGGGTCGTCGAGTAAATTTCGGGCCGTAAATCAGATAATACGGAAAGTGGACCCCACTTCCATCCGTTGACAGCTGAATGAAACCTTCCTTCCTCTCTCTTCAACCTCTCACCAAACAAAAAGGCCTCCTCCTAAATTTCTTCAATACATCTCGATCTCTTCGCTCTCTCTAAATCTACAAGCTCCAAACAATACACACACACATATATATATCTGTATATCTATTTTGATTTTCCTTATCTCTCTACAACATGGATCCGCCTACTTCCTGGGACTCTTTGCGGAAACAGGTCAATTCCTCTCCCTCCCACCAATATATTGACATCTCTGTATATATGTATGTTTTTGCATAGACATATATCAGAATATTTCTTATGCTGCGATGAACTTGAATTCCTTGCTGTGATTGAGTTGTTATATATCTGTATTAGGGTTAGGGTATCATGAAATTGAAAATTTCATTTTGTGAGTTGTAAATGGAAAAAAAAAAGTGGGAGTCTCAAAGTTCTTTGAAATGAGAATGTCAAATCTAGTTGAATGGTGTTTAGAATGTCAAATCTAGTTGAATGGCGTTGATGATGGTATCTTTGAAGTGATCTGCATAACTAAATGAGGTAATTGTATCAATAAAATGTTTGGACAGGTTCATTGACAGATTTGTGTTGTCTCATTGATTGTCGGTCAAAGTATATACTTGTATAATTTCTCTTGAATTTGTCGTGAAAGCCCTGTTTTGGTTGCTTTGTAATGAATGATATGAGGGAGAGAGAGAGAGGCATTTTTGAAACTAATGGGAGGGTGGTGTTCATTTTATTTTGAGTTGAAAACGGTAAGAAAAGGGTCACATCACTCAAGATGGAGATGGATTTGGAATAGGGTAGTTGTGATGTATAGGATTGCTGTTCTACTGTAATTTCGGTAGAGCAATGCTGCTCTTCACAAAAAACCCTCAAGTAAAAAATCATGATTTGGTGTTGATATCTCTCTTCTATTCATTTCAAAATCAAAATGATCCTATTAATTTCCTTTAGTTTCAAAAATTGCCATCATAGTCATATACGAATTCTCAAGATTTAATCTTTGTTTTACTGAAAAAAACAGAAAATTTAATTTGATTATGAACTTCATAAAGAATTGGAGCATGTACTGAAAAATCGGAAATGTTAATTTGATTATGAACTTCATATATAATTGGCGAGTGTAACTTTTGTCTGTTGTTAATCATGTGTATGTAGGCAAGGAAGCTTGAAGCTCAGTTGGATGAGCAGATGCATATGTATCGTAAATTAGTTTCTACGAAAGTCGAGGATGGTTCAGATAACGATCTTGAATCCGGAATAAATCAACTACTACAACAGCTTCAGCAAGTAAATTTACAGATGCAAGCTTGGCTATCATCGGGAGGCTCAGAAATATTTTCTCATACATTGACACGCCATCAAGAAATTCTTCAAGATCTTACTCAGGTATTGTTGCTTTTACCATTTTTTTTTTATAAGTATTGTTGCTTTTACCATTCAACAGACACTGTTGAAATTACAACACTTAGCATTGATTCTTCTAGTCAATATGAACTTTGTTGCATTAAAAGCCACAAACGAGTGTGCTGCTAACAAACAAAATACTCTGAACCAACCTAAAGCAAGAATACTTAAACAGAACTAGTCAATCAATAGAGCAGTTTTCCTAAATGATTTTGTGAATCTATTTTTTAATTTCTTCTTCTTCTTCTTCTTCGACCTCAATCAAGATACGGTTGCATGAGGCCCACTCCTGGCCAAACTATAAACTTCTCCTATGCCATATTACCGAAATCTGCAATCATGGAATCATTCGATTGCTCTATAGTAAGAGAAAGTTTGGCATGCTTCACTACCTTACTTCTTCTTCTTCTTCTTGGGATTCACATTGGATGCTAAGATTCCCACAGAGAGTGTGGAAGTAAATTGTTCTTATCCCATTGGAGAAGATAGGAGAAGGTTGTGGTAAGATTGGGCTTTGCTCTGTTGCTTGAAAAAAAAAAAATCCAAAGCTTTCATATTCTCTTTGTTACTTGTCTGGACGAGGCCTATTCCTCATGCATAGAATTTTTTATGAGAGGAAATATTTTAATTTGTTAATCTGAAGTTCTAGTGGACTGAGGAGACGTGAAAACTGCTCAGTGCTCACAAACTTGATAAGTACAAACTGTGGGGTATCATGTAAATAGATGAATATATTTGAATTTTAATTTGAGAATTTGAATCTTCTTGCGTGTGCTGCATTACTTTTGAACTTGCCTTATTATTTAGAAAAAAAATTCCTAGGGGTGTTGTGGAATACGGCTTCATAGTAAATCTAGCGATGCTAAATGATAGTGTACCTTTGAACCAATCCGGTAATTTGAGCTAAAAGAATTTACTTGCCAGTGATCATACGGTGCTTAACAAAAACAATTGAACTGCAGGAGTTTAATCGGCTACGCTCCAGCCTTAGAGCTAAGAAAGAGCATGCTTCACTGCTGGAGGATTTCAGGGAGTTTGATAGGACAAGATTAGATCTGGAAGAAGGTGGTGGTTCTTCTGAGCAGGCTCTCCTTAAGGAGCATGCATCCATCAGCAGAAATACAGGGCAGGTATTTATAAGCAAATTTTAATATGTTTATACCACATAAAAGTTCCATATCTTTTAAAGCTGAATATTTGGTTGTCTCAGATAGACTAGCAGAATACAGCTTTTAAAATTTCACCTTGTCTAAGCCAACATGGTTGATACTTAAGCTTCTATTTTGTTAAAACATTGAGTGAAGCTTTATTCCTAGTCTGGAGTTGTTTCTAACTTCCATTTATGGTGTACTTTTTTCATGTGAGCCCACTGTTATTACAGGTAGTACAATTCTGTCTCTACTTTGGTTTTAAACTATATGTAAATTGCCCTGATTTATATGTTGCAAGGTGGTCAGTTCTAGTTTGGAAAAGTTCAATCCGAACACTACTGTTTTTTTCAATACTAGACTCTCTAAATATTGCAAATCGGTTACTATTAAATTTTGAATATTTAAACTATTAAGAAATTTGTTAGGAAGACCTTTACAACCCTTGTATTAGATAATTTTGGGTTGTGGTCCATTACTAATGGCCAGGCTTAAACTAGCAAAAGATGGACAATTAGGTATTTTCCATTAATTCCAGGTCCATGACTGAACATAGCTCGCATAATTGAGAACCATCATCATCCTTGCTTTAATCCCATAATTGAGAACCATGCACCTTCAAATTGATAAGTTTTCAGGTATCCTACAAAAGTAATTAAAATCACAAAGAAAAGTCTATGGGAATACTACAGAAATGAGAGAGATTTACCAACCCCTGCACTAGGTAGATTTTTATTATTATTTTTATTTCTTTTTTATTTTTATAATGTCCAACCTTAGTTATTAAATTATAATAAAACTAGAAAAGGACACAAAATTAACTAAAATGATATATTCCTTTAGTTCCAAGTGCACAAGGTGAGTCTCATGTCTTTTAAGCCTCCCAAGTGAACCTTTGAAAACTGCATTTTTTTTTTTTTTTTTTTTTTTCTTTTCATAAGAAATGTAGAATTAGGTAGAAGAAGGTTTATGCATGTGGGGGAGAAGGATGTAACCTCCTGACTCTCTGGACTACTACAATAAATAAGAAAAGGATAAAATTGGGAGAAGTAGATGTGTAAGCAACCAATTCTCCGTAAGATTTGTGAAAGAGCACTAGAAGTCTTGCAAGTTGGTGGGGGTTTTTCGTTTGGGTTAAGAATTTGGTCTCAGTATACGCAATATGCAGATCTCAATTGGATTATATACGTCGTGTTAGATGTTGGGTCCTTCACTTCTTTGCATGGGTTCACTCGGGCCCTGATAACGATTGTTAATATTGGGATACTAAAGGTTTTTTGTTTTTGTCTTTGGTTTTTTTGTTTTTGTTTTTGTTTTTTGTGGATATGATTTTAAGGATTGGAATATGGTATAGGTTACTCAAGTCGATAGAAATCTCGTTTGATACCTTTGAGAGAAATCTCATTGAATGCCTATTCATCATTTTAGAAGCTTTTTATTAGCTTTTAAGGCTTCTAACTATAATTCATAGAAGATAAGGCTGTGACATTGTTTGATATTGCTCTTGTAATGGATTGTGCATATTCTGTTCAAAAATTTCACTGTCAAGGTTCGTAGTCAAGTATGATTTCTTTCCTTCCTTGGGTAAGTATATGCAAGAATTTTTGGAAGAGGAAAAGTGACATGGCCATCCTACTGAAATCCGGTTTTGATCTTTTTCGAGAGCAGAGTTTCAGCCAAATCTGGTGGATATTTAGAAGAGGAAATTGGTGCATGATAAATTTGCATATTTTAAATTGTTAAATTTGATGGGGTTCAATTTTTCTGATGCTACAAGCTCTAATATATGTAAAGCATCATATAGGCTACACTTATATCCCTGTAGGGACTCCAGAGCTACCAACATTGTGCTAGTGGAATTCCTTTATTTCTCTATAGTACTAGAAAAAATGGGATATATTGTTGCTCTAATACATGGCTGTGTAGAAGTGTCAGGGTTTTTGGTCGCATGTTAAGAGGAGTTGTCACTACGACCACAATTTCAGAAGATAAAATTTCCAAGATTCATTGCAGCCAGCTGCTGAAAAAGAAAATGCAATTTGGATTTTTAGGAACATCAGATATTATCAATGTGGAAAAAGTTGAGTGTTGCTATACATTTTTGGCTTGTTTAGCTCCTTTTTCAAAAAGGATTATGAAGTTATACTAAAGGAGGTTTCACCAGAATAGTCTTATGCTGATGGATATATTTATTTTGAGAATGAAAAAATCAAAACTCGTAAGGAGAAAAACTGTTACAATGGTAATAATAGAAAAGATTCAAAATGAATGATCAATCTTATGAAGAGCATGATGTCACGGGCCTAGAGATTCGGCGCAGCGGCACGGCCCGTGCGGCACCAAGGCGTTGCTTCAGCTCGCGCAAGCGCCCTGGTCAGCCACCACGACCTGCCCTCCCAAGGATACATGCTGACTGGTTTCGGCCTGCCATGGCCTCGTCAGGGGAACGGCTCCAGCTCCCGACCAGTTTGTGCAGGGATGGCCAACTCCCTTCTTCATAGTCAAGTCCAAGACTAGCGACAAGCACCTCGAACTGAACCGAGTCGACCTGCCTGAACTCTGAAGAGGTACCATCCTGTGGTCCTGCACGCCCCTTCCCTGGAACCATTCCCAGTCAATGAATGTTCTTAGCCAACCAGCATGCGTATCTTCTATGCTCATGGCGTCGTTAGGAATCGGATCGTGACATTCTCCCCCACCCAAATCCTGCGACGCCCTCGTCGCAGTGCGGCGCTGACTCCGCTGCGTCCAACATTCCAAAGTCTCTCTCCTCCAAGTGGTATGCTCGCCTGCCCACCATCGCTTCCTTGTACAACCCCTGGCTGCACTCGCCCAATGATAGGGTTTCGGGCTAAAGGGACGCCCACTTCTTCGGGACGCAACCCCACGTTATGCCGCCTCCGCGACACCCCGAGCAAACAAGCGCCCTCCGACTGACTTGATACCCGCCCTTCACAACGGTTTGCACGCCTCTTGAACTTGCAAGAACTTTGGTGCGCGCGGCCCTCCGGCCATCCGATGCGCGCGGCCCTCCGGCCCTTCAAGGACGCGTCTTCATGGGGAGATGGAGGCTCTCCTCCAACAGCATTGATTACCCACTGACGCTTTAGTGCACCGTCTTCATTCTCAAGACCCCCGGATCGACAAGGGGGCACACCTCTGTGCTTTTCCCCAAGTCCTGCTCTGATACCATTTGTCACGGGCCTAGAGATTCGGCGCAGCGGCACGGCCCGTGCGGCACCAAGGCGTTGCTTCAGCTCGCGCAAGCGCCCTGGTCAGCCACCACGACCTGCCCTCCCAAGGATACATGCTGACTGGTTTCGGCCTGCCATGGCCTCGTCAGGGGAACGGCTCCAGCTCCCGACCAGTTTGTGCAGGGATGGCCAACTCCCTTCTTCATAGTCAAGTCCAAGACTAGCGACAAGCACCTCGAACTGAACCGAGTCGACCTGCCTGAACTCTGAAGAGGTACCATCCTGTGGTCCTGCACGCCCCTTCCCTGGAACCATTCCCAGTCAATGAATGTTCTTAGCCAACCAGCATGCGTATCTTCTATGCTCATGGCGTCGTTAGGAATCGGATCGTGACAATGAGGTCTCAATGAATTGAATTGACTGGATTTTGTTGAAAAGAAACGTGAAGGCGAACCAATAAGTCTAAATGACAGTATTTGTGCAAAATGTGCATATTACAGAACTTGGCAAATATTTAGGTGTGAGGAATGTTCTGAAAGGTGTATGATTAAAAAGGGAGCTCAAAGAGCATGGTGAGGTTAGATCGAGCACCTGATTTGTATCATAATTTTTGGTAGTAAGAGGCAAAGGATTTAATGAAGACATACAAACTTTTTTTTTTTTTTTTCCTTAATTGGTACTAACACGCACGTGCCTCCACTGAGGCTTGAACTCTTGACCTCCTTTTGGGAAGTAAGAGCCTGATATCGCTAGACCACTAGCCCGTTGGTAAGACATACAAACTTTGAGGAGGGAAAAATGCATCATGGGGTAATGATAAATTCTCTGAATGGGAGAATCAAAGAATTATTTTGATGGAAGATGTAAGGTTTCTTACATAAATTACATAGTAAAACAATGTAGGTAATTTATGGACTTGCTATATATATATTTGATAAGTAGATTTGGGGTTTTTTTTTTTTTTTTTCTTTTTTTTTTGAGGATAGAAGTCATTAATATTTTAGCAGGTTAGTACAATTCAATTAGACAAACTACCAATAAAAGTAAAAAAAGGAATGAAATAGGAAACAATACAAATCATGGAATTCCCTTTGAGGTGAGGAAATATATCAGCTTTAATGATCATGCCGTCTGGTGAACTGAACTTTTAGGAGTTTTCTGCAAGCAATAAAATGTGAAAATGCTAAATAATTGGAGAGGAACCATGTAAATATATATTTATATGCATCATATGGTGTGCTTCGATGAATGCTCAAAAGGAGGCGGTGTTAAAAATTTTATGCAAATAATTAATGGAGCTATGGAAGTGAGTCAAAGACTCATTTTTGTTTTTGGGTACTAAATAGTAATTAAGCTTTGGAGTTGCTAATTGTTTAGTTAGAAAAGTGGTGAAGGTGATATTATCGCTGTGTGGGGATTGTAAGGTTTATCTAGGGAAGATTAGAGGTCATTATTGGCTGTATTATAAATTGGCAGCCCCTTTTCTCTTCTATAATAAGTCTTAATCAGCATCACATTTCAGGTTTGGAGTAATTCTTGTCTATCTTCTGTGTGTAGATTGTTTCTTATTTCTGTTTGCTGCAAATTTGCTGTTAGAAAATATGCCGCAGGAATTAAACAGCATACAGATCTAAGTAATTAAACAAATGTATCAGATAATAGTATGTAGTTCGTGCTGCAGGAATTAAACAAGAAAGCTTATGCAAAAATCATCAGTTAGGAGTCAGGACCTTAGATAGTAAAATGAAGCTATTTTATTATGTGGATGGCTGGTCCAATAATTAGACGACAAGTATTCATTGACTTAGATATGTACGGATCCTGTAGAGAGATGATGTGTTCTTATGAAGAAATTAGTATGAACAATATAACATTGTTGTGGTCAAGGAATTTTATAATGGAATAACAATAACAATTTGAGTAGACAGTATGAGATTCTTTTATCACAGCAGGGTTACATGAAGTGCCACATTTAAACCTTATATTTTTTTAGCATTTTTTATGAATGAATTTGCTGGATGTATAGAAGAGCTAAATGGTGTTTGCTGTTTTCCAATTACAAAATTGTTTTAAGCTGGTGACAATAATGGAAGGGCAAATTGTTAGATTAAATTTTTGGTTAAAATAATCAAGTGATGCTCCAAAGTTGGATAGTTTCTGAATGAGATGGACTGAGACAATATATTTGGAATGTAATTTGGGTAAGGTTAAGATTCGGGCACGACTGTTACGATTTTTTTTTTCTGGATAAGTATGACTCTTACTATTTTCTTTGTGTGCTCATCCATGTACGGGAAATTAGGGAGCTTGTCATCATTAAATTAGAGAATGACATTAGCACATGATAGATGAAGTGGATCCTTATAGGATGCTATTCTGTTGCTCAATGCTGATGAAATATGAGTCTGTAAGAAGATTGATCCCAAGTAGTTAGTTGTGATTGGGCTTTCTCCAGTGGTTTATGTACTGGAAAACTGTGATAAAAAATTTTAATTTGAGTTTCTGGTTAGAGTATCTCAAAAGAATTTTCTCAAATTGGCTCAGATTTCTTTTGAGATTAGGGCTTGGATTTGGTTACATCGGATTACTATAGCATTGATAGAAAGAAGGTAGAATGCTTGAACTTCCATATCTATAAAGAATGGATCATACCTATTAAGTCAAATCATCAATTTGGTTGAAACAGCATAGTGTTGAAGTCCATAAAAGTAATGCTCTTACGTGTTTAAGTTGAACCTTCATCAATGTGCCTTAGACATCTCAGGATATCAGCCATCTAGCCAGAAGTCTGCTTGAAGAGGAAAAAGAAGTGTACTAGATGTAAATACCGGACAGGCAGACGCATACATTATATTTATGCACGTCAGACACTGTATTATATGATATTGTACCTCCATGTTGGATTGTAAGAATACAAAATTTGGAATTGTATGAGCTGAGTCATAATCAGGCTATTACTGTGATTACAACATCCAGTGGATGTCAACATCTGTTACCTTCCAGCAGTTGTTTCTTTTGTTTTACCTTTTTCTTTAATTTTTTTCTAAATGCATATAATTCATGGGACATCACTTGTGATTGTTTATCGTAGACAATATGAACCTCTTTTAAGATGCTGCACATTATTCTTTCAATCTCAAAGATTATGTATAAATTATAGCTCTTTGCTACCGAATCACTGGTTAAGGTAAAATGTGATTGCTTTCAATTTTTAATCAAATGCCTTGGATAAGCTTAACATGTGAGAACACATATAGTTATGGTATTTTGCAACTAAGGAATGAATCACCTCCAGGGATGATTTGTTGAACTTGCGAAGGTGAAGCTTGCAGCTTTTCATTGCCCAAAACATTTGTACCAAGAAATTCCTGTACAATGTTGCTCTTCTTTTGTATATATATATATAACTTTTGTATGTTGCTCTTCTTTCTTTCCTTGCGAGCAGTAGAGTCTCATTTTCTCCAGAAACCGCTTCAGTTTCAGTAGAGTTCTATTATTCTCGGCCGACATTTAAATGTTTTCTATTGGAAATTATTTTGGATTTGTTGCTCTGGGAGTAAAACAGCATAATAGAGAAGGGTGTTTGCGGGCCAGGGTGATAGTGTTTCCTTGCTGCTATTGTGAAGTAGAGAACCTGCAAGCAAGCACAAGAGGAGAAAGAGGATTGTGCTTGGATTTATTGGTCATGGTTGATAATGACTTGCGGATGCTATACTGCATCTTTGCATGTGGAAGAGCCTGCGACAGCAGATGAAGCAATGCCACGGTTGGTGGGCATGAAGATGGATGCATATGTATTTGGGTCTGTGGTCTGCATCAAAATTGTTTCTATTTTTGTTTATTTTGTCTTGGGTGGGTATTATATACATCCAATTGTTGACTTGGCAAGAGCTGATCTTGGCTTGGAAGTTTTTTAGTGTCGGGCTGATGGGGCAGTCATTGCTCTTGATAGTACTGTGGTTGTGCAGCCTGGTCTTGTGTATACCATTGAGATGCTGTACCTTCTCCTTTGATGCTCACATTCCAGCCCAAGTTTCTTGAAGGCCTATGATGCCTTGGCCAAACCTCGATGACAAGGGGGATGGTGGGTGGGGGCATTTGGGATTGGGGTGCTACTTTGAAGAATAGTTTTTGGATGTAAATGGAGCATTCAGGATGCCATGTTGTCAGTTCAAACCAAAACAATAATAGTTTCTATGTTATTACTTGCAGTGTGTAATTTAACGGGGTTGTCTTATTGGTCAGGGTAACTCTAGAGGCTTTTATTGGTTAAAGGAAGTTCAGTAGTGGGTTAGTTGTAGTCGGTTTTTTGACTTACCTGCTTGGATATTAAATTGTGAAATTATCATTTCTGAATGAGGAAAGTCTTTTAGTTGGGAAAAAGTTTTGTTGAGTTGAGTTGAATTGAACGAGGAAAGTCTTTTGTAACAGGCAACTATTTTAGGGTAACTAGAACTTTTTGACCTTGCTTGGGTGCGTTCTTTTTGTTTGAAACAGATCTACCCATTTCTTTATTTTCTTGACAATAAAGTACCAGCTTTCTAGCCGGATTCATTCTCCTGCTAGACCATATGGGGGGGAAGTTGAAGGTTTGGATCATGGGTGCCTGTCTAATTCTTATTTAGAAAAAAAGAAAAGAAAAAGAAGCATTCTTGCAATATTTTTATCCATCCATTCATATAGATATAGAATACTTTTCATTTAGTAATATTTACTTGTTTCTAAATTGTTGCCTTCATGGTTGGCATTGTAAATCTACGAAGGATCAGGTTATACCGTTATAGTGGATCTTTTGTTCTTTCTGAAGTTGTATTTGTGATGCACTCCCCTCTTGAGCGTCTAAAAAGAGTTCACAAGTAACCATATTATGAGGAATAAAAGAAATTCTTAAGGCACCATATTTATATGTAAGAAAGTTAATTGTTGCTGTCTTGACCACCTCAAGGGAGGTCTATAATATTTGGAAACTAAAGGGTAGGTCTTTCTTTTGCTCTTGATGAAAAACAAGTTATATCCAGCTCCCTGGTTATTTCCTGGTATTCCAGTCTTTTCTTACTTGTGGTCACTGTTTTGATATTGCCGCAGATGGATTCTGTGATTTCTCACGCACAAGAGACCCTTAGGACACTTGTATTTCAGCGTTCAACATTTGGGGGTATCAATTCGAAGCTTAGCAATGTCAGCAGCCGCCTTCCAACGGTACAGTAACTAATCCCATGGGTGTATTTGTATATATTATATTTTCTGGTAAATATATTTATAATGTATATTTTGTGTATACTATAATGATACAATTTCAATATTAGTAACATTTGAAGGCATAAAATACCTTGTAATTGAGTTGTCTCCAGATTGAAGTAAATTTACGTATAAAATACTGTTTGTGAGATCATTCAAAGAATTTGTTAGGAAGACAGAGTATCATTGTAAATGATGCAAATACAAAGTGGAATTGTTGATAGTTATATACTATTTCCATCAGCCTCTTGCAATCCACCCTTTGCCAAGGGACACCTTTGACGTCACTGCTTAATTGTATCTGTGAGTTTTATTGATACTCATCTGATTTTAAATTTGCAGGTAAACCATATACTCTCATCAATAAAGAAGAAAAAGTCTATGGATACTATCATCCTTTCTTTAGTTGCCTCAGTTTGCACATTTCTCATTTTGATTTATTGGTTGACCAAATAGAAATTATTGCGGTTTTCTGGTGGGAGCCTCACGGCATGTTCTTCCTCCACTGTATTGTATGTAAATACCGTGTTGGTTTGTTAATAAATTTTGGCATTCTTCATGTTTATGGTACGTTAGACAGCATTATATGCACTCTGCTTCTGTAGTACAAGTTAATGCTTCCAGCTTGGTAGATTTATTTCAGTTAAAAAAATCAACATTATTGAATGTTCTGATCTCTTCCCATTTCCTTCGCTTACGAGAAAAATATTAGTTTGACAGGCCAGGGTTTTTTTTTTTTGACAGCTGATGAATTACTGAGAATTTGTTTGAATGTTGTGTAGTATTCCATTTTAGCAATGGTAGACTGGTGAAACGTCCCATAAGAGTTTAAATACCACCACCACCTCTGCCAATGTTACAATTAATTCTTTCCAGATCTTGTATTGGGAGGTCTCAATAATGACCAAGTGGTTGGATCCTATAAAGACTTTGATACCACTTGTAACGGATTAAAATTTTCCCATCCAAACCATTGGGTAAGATGTTGCCTAACTGTTTTTTTATTTTATTTTATTTTTAGGGCCCGTTAAGATAATTGAATTAGTGTTTTCCTGGGAGGACTTCATCCTCTTCTGCATACTTTCATTCTGTGGTGTATCAGTGAGAATGTAATCAACTCAACAGTGAATCCCGTGATCTCATTTTCGTCTATTACGGCAAATGTAGCGAACTAAATAATTCTTACGAAATATGATAGAAAAATAAGTATATCGTACGAAGAATACAAAAATTTATACGTGGTTCGGTAAAGCTTACTTACGGTGGAGATTTGGTAAAAGTCTTTATTATATGTAAAATCGAAAATTATAAGTTTTAGCCCCTCTTAATTAATTAGTGACTCTTACCATCCACTTCAAACTTTAAATGCCCGTTATAAAAGAATATATTAATTATAGTTCATAACTCATAAGCTTTGTGTAGGCTTGAACCCACACAAAGCTCAACAAACGGGTTTTAAAAACATGCAATTGTTCAAAACCCATCAGAGATCTTAAATAGAGAGACACGCGCCCATTAGACTAGACAAGCAAAGTCACAATGGAATCATCTGGGTTGCTTTCATTACATAAAGCGAATGCAAATGGGAATGCAAATACAAATACAAGTCAGCTTCACTTTCTCCATTTCTTTCTTTTCATGCCTTTTTGAAACAAGTTGAATTTTTTTTTTCGAAAGATAATGCACTACAGCTTTCCTATTTACTTGTCGGCAATTTGTCTTATTGTTTAATTTGTCTTATTGTTGTTACTTGTACCAAAAGAACTTCGTTTAAATTTTTTTGTTTTTGTTTTTGTTTTTTTTTCTTTTTCTTTTGACACTACACGCGTACTCACGGGTGAAGTCATACCACTAATGTGAATTAATATTGTATATTAAAAATTCAAAGTCCTCAATATTTATCCAATACAATCACCACATCATCTCGTAAATCCGATTAGTTGAATTTTTATTTTTATTTCTATCTAGTACAATGTTCCCTGTTTAAATGAAATCATAACTCTGTACATGCTTTAAACGTCGAATAGCCGAACAAGAGCTAAGGCCTGTGAGCGGGGTCTACTTTTTTAAGTTGGAGAATTTTCATTCAGATCCTAAACACCTTGTTTAGGTCCAATAATTTTACGGAGACAAGAACTTTTCCTTTTTTAGCTGACTTATTTATAGGACACATTTCTTTGCTTATTTTTTTAAAGGAAATTATTTTGATGCTTCTTTCAATTAGAGTTACATTACCCTTTCTTTACTTTAATAATCACACACATGTTACATGCCTATTTTATTTTATTTTTTTTAGAATTTGTAAAGACTAAAGACTAGTCTTTCTCTATTCCACAAATTCCTTAAAGTTATCTAATGATGTGTTTGGTGTGCAAAAATGAAATGGCTGGAATGGAATACCTGTTTCGACCATTCATTTGTTTGGTATGCAATTTAAAGTGGGAATGTACATTCCATTGGATTAAAAATCCATTCCACAATTAAATCTATGAAATGGTCATTCTATTCTCGAAATTTTTTTTAAAAAATTTCAAATTTCCAAAAAACTCTCATGTTCCTAGTCCAAAAACCACCACCATCACCACCATTGCCTTCCACTGCCACCGCTGTAATCCCCCGTATTTTATTAAAAAGTTTAGTTTATTTAAATTCATTTATGTGTGGATTTCTTTACCTATTATCGTGCATGCTACATTATTATATTAAGTTCATTTAATGGTGCATGTAAATTAATTGTATATGTTAAAATAGTAAATTTATTCATTTAATTGTGCATGTATTATTATTAACAATTTTATTTGTTGATTATGTTTAATTAAGCAATATTAGTTAATTAAAGTATTATATTTATGTTATAAAGTATTATGATGATATAATGTATTCTTATGTAATAATAATATTAATTATAATAGTTTATTAATAATAATAATAATAGTTATAATAATAATAATAGTATTAAATCATAAGTCATGATGAAATTAGAGATTAGGATAGGATTTCATTAATATTTATAGGTAGGACTTGAAGCCATATGGTTGGGAATGTGGTGAGTTTAATGTAAATTTAGATATTTGTAATATTTATATTATTTTAATTTGTATAAATATTAGTTAGTTTGATGAGAAGGTAAGTTAGAAACCAATTTAAAATAGTAGAGAGTTGTTGTTAGAGGAAAGAAAGAGAAGAAAGGTGAGAGAGAAAGAAAGGAGTTTGGACCGGTGTAGGAGAAATTTACCCGACTACGCGCAACCGGCGGATTTATTTTAAATCCAAAAAGGCAAGTTATTATCTACTTTTCCCCTTTGAATTAATAAATTAATTGTTTAGTTTATTTGTATGCATAGAGCCAAGGTTAGTAGATTAATAAATTATAAATTTTATCTTATTAAATTAATGAAATTTTATTTATATAGGATGGTATATATTTATTTAATATCCTATGAAATTAATAATGGCCGAAAATAATTAAATAAAGCTTTAGGGATTTTTCTAGAATTTTTTAGATTTTTCCGGGGCTTTTCTGCAATTTCCGGCGACCTTCCGGCGAGTTTTCCGGTCGCCGGCAATGGGGGAGATGACCGGAGTGATCCGGTGTGATGCGGCGCACCATAGGAGGGTATGCGCGCGCATCTGGACCATTAAACAGCAGCGATTGATCCGGTGCACCGCGGTCCATGTTACCGCGGTACACCCGGATCCGTGAGCGTTGGATGGAGGGAAGGTAGGTGGATTGATCCTGTGTGGCGCGCATGTAGGAAAACTGATGCAGCCAACCAACCGGAGGACGCCACATCAGCAGGAAGCCATCAACGCGCGCGTGGGAGCGCGTGCGCGCGCGTGACTGATTCCAGACGCGCGTGCGCGCGCGTGGCTGATGCCAGACGCGCGTGGAGGCGCGTGGGAGAGTGGGGAAGGTTGGGCTGCGCGTGGGGAGGCTCTGGGAGGCGCGTGAGGGCGCGTGTGGGGTCTCTACAGCTGCTGGAAATTACCAGAATACCCCTAAGGCCTGTTTTGTAAATTCCAGAACCTTAAACTTGGATTTTTAGGTACTGCGTTGGTATTTACGGGTTTAATGGGCCACGAAATTATTATTTTAATACCCGTTAAGTATTATTATGGCCGATTAATATTTCTAAACCTTAATTGGCCCGTTTACCGTACGTATATGAATGTGACTCATTTGACCACATTACTATAGATGGTATTATTATGTTATTAAATGGTATTCATTATTACTGTTCAAATATAATAATGTCACGGTTATCGTCATATAAATTATCCATTATATTATGGGATATTTATACTGTTAATCATATATCAACCATGATTATTATGCTGTGTGCATTTCAGGGAATAAATGGACTGTTTATTATGTCGCATTTATATTATATGGATGTGTTGCCATATAGAACCATGTGAGCTGGCTAATAAGTTTAGACTCATTTATACCTTATGCATTCGTTGCTATAGACAGATGTGTGGCTGTCGGGGTATGTGGTTTAATATTATTGGCATGTGTTGCCTAATGGACATGCTCAGTATATTTAGTAATATTATTGGCATGTGTTGCCTAATTTGTATGCTCAGTATATTCATCAGTACTTTGAGAGGTGTTATCACTGTGTAGTTCGTTATAGTCTGTGTTGTCAGTATCGTGCACCATGTATAATAGCTGATTTTCCGGGTAGGGAAATGCGACACTTAACCACCTAGTGTGAGTCTAGGTGATCACCGTCTATTCTGGTTGAGGTCATGTTATACATTGGATGGTTCCCTTAGGATGTATACAGATATAGTACTCATCCGGATATAAATGATTAATTTATTTGATTCTCTGATTTGGGTCATAGTAGAGAAGACTTGCTCGTGGGGTTGACCCACCATTGTTGTTATTTCAGGATACGGTCAGTACCCGTTCCAAGGTTGAGGTTAGCAGTGAGGGACCACCATCCGAACTCATCTACTCTTACGATCCAGTTCAGGGTAGAAGTTTTACGTATTACTTCAGTTTTAGTTTTTATTTACTTTTGACGTTAAACTCTCAGGTTTATATTTAGGGATCCTTGACATAGGATTTCCAAGTTGTAATGGAGTACTGTATTTAAATAAAGGATGGATGGATGTTGTATTATTTAGTGTTCCTTTCCTGTCTAAATTCTTTTATTATCATCATTTTGTATTCCATGCTTGTATATTGCCAATTGTTTTTGATATCCCTCGTTTTTCATGTATAAGCCTGATCAACTTATGCGTGGAAAATGTGGGGGTGTTACAACCGCCACCACCACTGCTTCCACCACCACCATCGCCTCCTTTCACCATCACCACCTCTATTGTCTTCCACCACCGTCACTACCATCATCACCATTGTTGCCTCCTACAACCACCACACAGCCGTATTATCCACTGCCTTCCACCACTGCACATTCCATCGTCGCCCACCACCACCACCTCCATTTCCTTCCACCACCGTCATTGCCACCATCACTGTCACCATTACAACCCCCATTAACGTTGTCATCACTACCGCATACACCACTACTATAGCGTCCTGGATTTTTTCGGATTTTTATGACATTTTTTGTTGTTTTTTTTAAATTTTTTTTAGCCAATCGGTTTCCGTGTCACATGGGTTCTGGTAGTCATTTGAGACATTTCTTTAAGCCCATGACTCTTAGAAATGTATTTTGGTCCATTTTATCATTTCTTTCCTTAGCCGAGACTCATTTTCTTTCTCACTACTTCACTTTCTCTCTTTATAAACCAAAGCTTTACATGTTTCAAGCTTAGACCATAGAATGCAAAGTTGGAGGGTTTGATGAGAGTTTTGATTTGATCGGAGCAAAGCTTCATTTGGGTGACCTTGGAAAATTTTGAATTTGGGTCTTTTGGTCTTATTTGAGATAGAGTTTTTTTGTAATTGATTACACATTATTCCCCTTTATATGCATACCAATTTGTTGTTAATTGCATGATATATTAAATTCTAAGGTTTGGTGTATGTTTGAGTTCTTGTCTAATTGATGTATTATATGTGACTATGTGCTCACTTTGTGTATAATTTTCAAATGACATGCTACCAAATTTGCTATGTGATGGATTCTATAACTACATTATGTTATTATTGTGATGATATTGACTATTCACATGCTCAATATTATTCTAATATATGCTTGAAGTGATGTTATGACTATCAATTAAAGCTTGTTGTGAGCATGAAATTATCCCTTGGATTATCAAAGCATGATAAGTAGTGAATGAGTTATGTATGAAGCATTTCTATACACATAGCATTGATGACATTTTCATGTACTCATGAGGTGGGTGTGCAGAGACGTGTGTAGAAATGTGAAGAGGTAAAATGTGAATATGAGAAATTTTTGAGAACAGTTTTCTCAAACCTGGTATTTGGGAGGTACCCCTTTATCGATGGTGCAAGCTAGTTAATAGGGATACGGGAGGTACCCGTGAGAAATTTTAGCGACTCGGGCCCTAAATGGCGGTTGGGAGGTACCCTTCCATTAGGGATGATAGCAAAATTCTCCTTAGGGACCGAGGGAGGTACCCAAGGTCCGGCTAGCTAGTACGTTTTCGTTGTGGGTGTGTGGATATATACGAGAGTGTGTGTGTGGAATGTGGTTGCATAATGCATTCCATGCATTGTATTGCTTGAAGTTGATGAGAATGATCCTTGATGTTTTTAATGGCGTTGTGAAATTCCTAGCATGATCCCATTATCTCATCTCTATTCCTTGTTGTATAGAGCATATGATTGTGTACTTTGCTTGAGGAGATGCCACTTAAGCAATCTCTACTGAGCCGTTGTGCTTACCCTATATTTAACATTTTTCAGGTTATGGAAAGGAAGTGGTGGCTGATATTCCTCCACAAGCTTAGCTAGTGCTAGATAGATCGTTTTTGACATCCTTTGTAATCAAATTCAGTTTTTGTAATGCATTGCCAATGTAACCAGTAACCTTATTATTTTAGACATGGTTTTTTATATTTTTGGATATGTATATGATGGCAATGGAATCACTTTTGTTTAATGTAAGGATGAATGATGAAGAAAGGGTTATGTTTTGACTAAATGATGTATTTTGATAAAGATCTATATCTATCAATGTACATGGTGTTCATTTGGCATATTTCAACTTTTAGGTAAGTTTCGGATCATTTTGGTACCCATCTGATTGGTATAGATGGAGTGCACAACCATTGCACCTTGAAAATGGCCTATTTTTCAGCTTCAAGGGTGTTTCGGTCAGCTGGTGATATTAGCCAATAGATTGATAGTGTAAATTGGGCTTGGACAGAAGCTTAGGGACCTGGAGCATCATTTCAGTCGACTGACAATCACTATCAGTCGACTGATCCTTGAGTTTGACATAAATTTCAGCTGACTGAAACTTTCAGTTTACCTAGAGTATTGACTCGACTTCAAATAGTCATATCTCCTTCATTTTAACTTCAAATTGGATCATGTTTAAGTTTAATTTCAAGGATTTTGAGTCAGATTTATAATGGTACCTAATCTAAAAATTCAAACTGTAGAGGAAGTTATGACTATTTAGTACGGACTACTCTGGAAATCTTCTAAACCAAAAGGGTCAATTGTATGAAAACATTGTTCTTGCATCTAGAATCTTATGAAATGAGTTTAAAGTCAACCCACTTCTCTCTCTTACCTTGAAATGATCGTTTTGCTGTTGAATTGACCTCAGGTTGGGTAAGAACCTGGCTTATGTTTGCATCACTCGACATTGATCCGGATCCACCGAATTGGGTCGTTGCAACTGCGACCTTCCACCACCGCCACCGTCACCATTGTTGCTACCTTCCACCACTACCACACCACGCCTCCACCACTGCCTTCCACCATCGCCGCTACGTCTACCATTACCGCCACTTCCACTGCCACCACTTTCTACCATTGCCACTGCAACCACTATCGTCGCCTTCCACCACCACTACCATTGTCACCTCCACAACTGTCCCCGCCTTCCACCACCACCACAACGCTGCCGCAGCCTCCGTTGCCTTCCACCACCGCCACACTATTGCCATCGCCACCGCCACCATCGTCACCTCCACTGCCTTCCACCACCACCACTACTGTCGCCGCCTTCCACCACCACCACACCACGCTTCCACCATTACCTTCCATTGTCACCGTCGCCGCCACCGTGCTGCCTTCCAACGCTACCACCTACACCACTATTGCTTTCCACCTCCACCACCATCTACCACCACCATCATTTCTTTAAATTTTTTTTTATAGAAGAATGTTATTTTGTTAATTTAATTTATTTGTTAATAAGATGGGTATTTTGGATAATTTAATTTGAAATTCATTCCATTCTAAATTTTAGATTGATCAAACCAAATATTAGAATGATTAATTATTATCATTTCATCCCTACACATTTTAGATTTGCAACCAAACAATAGAATGAAAATGGCCATTTCATTTCATTTCCATTCTCATTATATTTCTACTTGCATTCCTGCACATCGAAAGCAACATAATAGAAATATTATTACATCTTCATATCTATTCATCTTTCCTTTTCTTGTGCGTAAAGAATTAAAATTTAGCTGTATTAAATACAGTGCAATTTGTATATTAGAGTAATCTAAACAATTTGAACCCAATTCATGATTTGTTCATGTTTATTACATAGTCAAAATCAATATATTCTAATTTTATTTGATTAATGCATGTGAAAGGTAAAAAGTTCCAGTATTTTCGAGAATTTCGTGTGTAAACACATCTTCATTTGAACATGTCTGATAAAGAATATTATCTGTATTTTACTTGTAGATGCTTTATCTTGTGAGTTCTCTACGTCAACCTTGCTATAGCTCCTCTATAGCATCTTTTAGTACCTTAAAGAATTACTGATTCATATTTTGATTACCTATGTTTTTCATGAAATAATTTTCTGTTCTTACAGTTCTCTATACTTCATTGATTAGATTTTTTTTTTTAATTTTTTTTTTATTTCATACTTTATTATCAATTTGTTTTGACATATGTAAATATCCAAAGTTTAGTCACTCACATTAATTTAGTCTAATATTAAACAAGTGTTTCTAGGTTTGACACATGTATCAAGTAATAACCTTTCAATATCATTTGATAAACATTCATAATTCATCATCTCTTTCACCTAGGCTCTGAAACAAAATTAAAAACTGATTGTTAATATTAAACAAGTTTTTTTTTTTTTAATAGACTTCGAATATATATATATATATATATATATATATATATATATATATATATATATATCATGGAAAACATGTACTCATAGCTCATTACACTTTTCACACTTCAATTATATTCTCAAAGATCTCAAAAAAAAAAAAACAAAAAAACGATGGTGACATTCAATCTGTTGACACAATAAACACGTGGCATTCAGGTGTTTATATGGACCACCAACTGGTGACCTGAAATTCAAGAGAGTGGATAGCGTATCAACATGAGACAATTATAGGACAAAAGTTATGAGGGACTTTTGGGAACTAAAATAGCAAAAACCATGAACATGCAAGCTAATCCTTTAATCTTTTTGGATGACACACCACTCCATATATAGTGAATCCATTGATTTATGATTTTTTATATAATCAACTCCTCAATGAATATACATAGTTAAAGACATATACTATATGGTGTGGAGTTTCAAGTCACAAACAAATATATTACTCTCTCTCTCTTTCAAAATTTTGTTAAATTATATACTGTCCAATGGAACCACTAGGGAAAGAACCATGTCCAGAGACATCATTGCAGAGCCCAAAGGCAAACAAACAAGAAGAAGAAGAAGAGAGAAAAGAGATGGATCTCAATCTACGTAGCATGGACTCCATTAATGATCATATGTTCAATCCAGAACTCAACCTCATTGATTGCCTCAACATGCAAAATTCAACAGAAACTCCCCAATTATCCTATCCCAGGCCGCGAGTTTTCTCATGCAGCTATTGCCAAAGAAAATTCCATAGTGCACAAGCACTTGGAGGACACCAAAATGCCCACAAGAAAGAGAGGTTTTTGGCGAAAAGTGGACAGCAAAACAGCTACTACTTGGACAACCATGAGCATGGTCATTATTCTTGCATGGCTTCACTCCCTCTTGGAATTCAGGTTCACTCTATGATTCATAAGCCACCTCACATACCAAATTCTTTTGGGGCGAGAAGTTTGTATGGACACGGTGGATGGTCAAGGCTGCCTATGCACCAACGACCGGCGATTGGGAACCTAGCCGCGGAGAGTTATCAGGCCACTGTGTTGACAGGACCCTCGTCTCAAGGTGGTGTTGGTATATTCAATACCAAGAGCAGGGTGATGAGTTCTCTATCAGATGAAGAAATTGGTGGCAATTGGCGGGGAGATGGTGATGGTTTGAATACTAAACAGGATAAGTTGAAAAAGTTAGACTTGTCTCTCAAGCTCTAAGTTTCATTTTTTTAGTATGTCTTATTTTGTGCCTTTGATTTTTTCTTTTTCTTTTTCTTTTTAAAGGTGTCTTTGATCTCTCTTTTGCTTCTTAATTTTATAATTATAAGTGTATTGCTTATGGACACACGGGCATTATTCAGTGGTTTAGTTAGTAAAGTGCTCCAACTACCCGTGTCCGAGTACTCTTTCCCCTAGTTTACAAAAAAAAAAAAAAAAAGAAAAAAGAAAAAAAGAAAAGAAAAAAAGGTATTGCTTATCGACATATAGGCTTAATTTATTTTGAGACTTAGTGCACACACAAATACACATTTATGCAATCGATGGGCTCTATCCAAGATGGTACACGTTCCTCTCTTTGACCTAAAAGTGTAAGCCCAAATTGAGCAATATATACCCGTTGTATTACTGCTAATTTAAATCAGTGAGTTCCCTATGTTAGACATGGCCTCACCACTTGGCGTTCAGATGATTTTCCGGCAGTTGCAGTGGTGGGCCTGGCGGTCGGATGAAGATATGTGAGTTTCTCTCAATCCAAACATGGTAAATGATTGCGGAGAGTGCCGCAATGGAGAATGAACATAGGGTTGGGTGGACGAATGAGCAAGAGTAGAAGAGATGACTCATTTGAGGATAGACAGAAGGTGTAGTGATTTAGGAAGTGCTACTACTGCTTAGCCAATGATTTGTTAAAGGTGGATACAAGGTTTAGGATGGGTAGCCATGCATGGAATGAACTAAACCATAAGGTTGTTTAATAATCACAAATATGCTACATAGTCTATTTTGTATGAAATTTATAAAGATTAAAAACTAGTCTTTCTTAATTGTAATCAATTTGGCTACATATGCAAATATCCAAATTAAGTTTGGTTATCTAATATTAAACTAAGTTTTTCAAGGTTTTTGTTTGGCTCAAAGTATGCCTCAGAGGTATACTTGTAATTTTATGAGTGCTGCGTGGCAGGATTGGCGAGTTTAAATTTGTAGCTGAGTTGGGTTCAGCCGAGCTAACTAATTAAAGCCAACCAAATATTCTTTATGTCTATGGTCACGAGTGTCCTGTTAGCTTAGCCTGGTATATCTAACTTTAGCCATTGTGGGGAGCAGGAATGACACATTTGTTCACTTCAACCCAAACTCAGAAGACTCTGTTGGACCGTTTAAAGTGAGTTGATTGCAATTAAGAAGAGTTAGAATGGAGAGAAAAGAGAACAACGGCTGATGCATTTTTTTTTTTTTGTGGCATGTGATTTGGCCAGCAGCCATGTGGGGGCCGTCTTTGACCATCCCCACACAGCTATGGCTAATTTTTGATCAGTTAGTCAAACAAGGCCTTATAACGGTTGCCTTAAGAGGCGATTCTTGTACACTTAGCCAAACAAGACCTTATAACGGAAAGGAATTGATTTAAGAAAAAAAATGATTCTTTTTATTTTTTTATTTTTATCTCAAAGTTTTGCTCATTCATTTTTTTCTTACCTGGCAGATTTCCAAAACAACCAAACAAGAGCAAGTGAAATTCAAGTGGAGTTTTGAAAAGGGTAGAAGTGATTAGAAGTCTGAGGTAAATTTCTGTTCTTCATAATAATTTAAAGCGTTTGATTTTATTTATTTATATATTTTTGTGGAGTTATATGGTATTCTTGTTGTACTGTATGGTTGATTTTCTCCCTTGTTTCTGTAGTTGATTTTCAATCTCTCTTTCACTAAATCATGTTCTCTAATACGATGGATTATCAATATTTGATTTGGATTCTTGGTTTTATGCAATTTTGCTTTATGTATAAAGAAAAGAATTTAGCTAGCACTCTGCATATTAGATTTTTGATGAAATGGGTCCGAGGTTTAATAAGTTTTTTTTTTTGGCAAGGGTTTGCCATTGTTTTGTATTGTTCATAACCTAATAAAAATTTTACAAAATAGCATTTTTGTACTTTTTTATTGATTAAGACTTGGTATCTATTTTGTGTTAAGTAATTCTTTTGTGTTATATGTCCTTTTTTTAATTATTCGTGTTGTTTATGAAATATTATTATGTTATATAAAGAATTATGTTTGGCGTTATTTTAAAACTTTTTGTATTGGTGTACTATTTTAAATTAGGGATGGAAAGTGGCCCCGGTAAAAATAAAAGAAAGTGGATTGACGAAGAAGATATGAAACTTATTGGGGCTCTTCTTGATTTACATAACATTGGGAAGTACAATGCTGATTGTGGTTTTAAACCCGGTCATTTTCAAGCTGTGGAAAAAATACTTGTAGACAATTTACCAAATTCAAGCTTAAAGACAGACCCCCATATAAAATCAAGAATGAAAACTTTGAAAACTCATTTTGATGTTGTCCATGATATGTTAAATGCTAGTGGATTTGGTTATGATGAAATGAAACAGCGCGTGGTAGCTGAAAAAGCAGTATGGGATGCCTACTTACAGGTATTTTTTTTTATACATTACTTTATTTGGATAAATCCTTTTACATTATAATATGCTCAATAATTATTTTTCTATGTCAATTTGCAGAGTCATAAGAATGTTGTAAAATTCAAAGATAAGTGTTTTCCACACTACAAGGAATTGTGCAAAATATTTGGAAAGGATCGTGCTAACGATAAAGAAGCTGCAACACCAAATGATGTTTTAGAAGCACTGGAAGATGAAGAACTTAATAAGGAGAAAGAGGTTGAAAATAATGATGACTTTGAAAACCCTTTAGATGATATACCACTAATAGTTGGTGAGGATACCAAAACGACCCGGGCTTGGAGTGATCCACATTGCATAGGATGGGTCGGATGTGGACAAACGGGATGGAGCCAGTTCGCGCTGTATGGGCCCAGGTCCATAAAGCCATTTCAGAAGCCCATGATGAAATGAGAGGAATCGAGTCCAGCCAAAGGAGAATATGATAGGATCAGCTCAGTGGAGGTTGTAACTGTCTATAAATAGAAGGGATTGAGAGGGAAAAGGGGTTGAAAAATCATTGGGAGTGTAAAGTTTCTCTCTCTACAATTAGGGAAAAATTCTTTGTACTTTCAATTGGCGCCGTCTGTGGGAAGAACAAGAAGGATTGATTGATATCATTCTAGATCGGATCGATTCAACGCATTCTGCGAGGAAGACGACTACTCTGTGAAAGCTGAATCAACATTGATGATAATACGATCTGTCTTGACGAGTTAAGGCTCCGGTTGATTTCGAAAAATTGGCGTCCGATCCAAGCAGATCAGATCCGTGCTTGATCCGGCGAACTGCGCAATTGCGATTTGTTGTGATTACTGAATCCGGCCAGTAGTGGACTGAATTCAGCAAGTGTAGGTTCAGATCTGGTGTGCGCGCGTTAGCGGAGCTCCGATTTGGTCAAGAAGTCTGCAGTTGATGACTTTGCTCCGATCTGGAATGATGATCGGAGAGGCGAACTCGAATCCTTTGGAGAACAGCCAGCAGACAAAGCTCGACGAGCTGATGAACATGATCGATGCTTTGAGGAAAGAAAATGCAGAGCTACGAGCTGGAATGGAGCATCGTGAGGCTCTTGCAATTCCGAGGCCACCTCCTGAAGGAGAAGGAGCTTTACCGTCCGAAGCTGATCGTTAAGGTGATCCAGAAGACGTCAATCGTGGTGGTCTACGTTGTGATGAAGATATAATCGGTAATCTGCCTCCGAATGACGGAAGAGTAGAAGATCGGGAAGGATCTGTTAGTCTGGAACCGCATCACAAACGGATTATGAGGGAGGAAGCACCAACGTATGAACATTGGGTTGCGTCACCATGGCGGAGTGAATTTGCGGAGGATAGGTCGTTCGATCCGCCATACCGACCTTTATTAGCGACTGTTGATTACAATAGCTCGGAAAGGAGATCTGCCGATCGAGGATTTTTGTCACGATTTTCAACAGAAAACGAAGCATTGCGTTCCTCAGCAAGGACAGTCGCATCGCCGTTCACTGATGAAATTCTGAACGCGCCGAATCCGAAGAAGTTTTCCATGTCGATCTTCATTCTGTTTGACGAAACAACTGATCCGGTCGATCACATATACCATATTCAGTTAAAAATGGCTTTGAATACTAATAATGATCCTTTGATGTGCAAGTGTTTTCCTACGAGCCCGGCTGGACCAGCTCTCAATTGGTTCAAGAATCTGGCTCAAGGCTCAATCGCCAGTTTCCAGGACTTATGCGATAAGTTCATAAGCCAGTATTACGGGAATAAGCGTCCGGCTAAGGATGTATCGAGCCTTTTTACAATGAAGCAGCATGAGGATGAACGGCTCCAAGCTTTTCTCACCCGGTTCAACCTCGATAAGAGCATGGTAATGGAGTGCCACCCGTCCATAGCAGTCCAAGCATTTAAACTTGCAATGAACCGGGGGACGCCGTTTCACACCAGCTTGGTGGTTAATACGCCAAAGACAATAGACGAGCTGAACGAGAGAGCTGACGGTTTTGTTCGCCTTGAGGAGGAAGAAGCAGCTAATTCAAGGAAGACGTCAATTATTTCGACGGAGGAGAAGTTCAAAGCCAAGATCCGGCAAAAACAAGCTCAACCGCAACGTCACCCCTCATGGAAGGCGGAGAAGAGGCCCAGGGAGGAGGAATCAGTCACTCCACTCAGAGTCACTTTAGCAAGGCTATACCAGGAGAACAAAGATAAGTTTCGTCCTCCTCTGCCAATCAGGCAACCTCTTGAACAGAGAGATCAGACTAAACATTCTACTTTCCATAGTATTTTGGGCATCAGACTAACGAATGCAGGAACCTAAGGAGGCAGGTAGAGATGCTGATCGCAAATGGGGAGTTTGCAAGCTATGTCCAGGGTCCGGCGCAAGAGCATAATCGCCCGACTGAGCAAATCAAGCGGAACCAGAGGCCAAACCAACACAACTCTCAATCCGTCAGGATTATAAACGCAATTCATGGCCGGCCTAAGTAAACGATGGAGTCAGAGGAGTTGCTCAGGACGAGGTTACGCCAGGCCCAGTTGAAAAGAAGAATTGGCAGTGTGCATGCTTTACACCAGCAGAACGCGTCCACATCGATAAAGTTTGATAAAACGGACCTGCTACGCGTTCAGATTCCTCATGAAGATCTACTAGTCGTCAGTCTGACGATTGCAGAATGCCTGGTTCGGAGAGTCCTGATTGATCCAGGAAGTAGTGCGAATGTCATGCCCAGGGTGATGTTCGATCGACTGGAGATCGCACCCGAAAATCTCAAACCCACAGGGAATCCGCTGCTCGGATTTGATGGGAAGCGAGTGGAACCCATTGGAATAGTAGAATTGACAGTACAAGCCGCTGAGCGAGTTCTGACTGAAAGTTTCGTGGTAGTGGAAATTTATCCATCATACAACCTCTTGATGGGCAGAGGATGGATTCATAGAATTCAGGGCGTTCCGTCAACCTTACATCAAGTGATGCGATGTTTAGGTCCGGATGGGACCAAGGTGATAGATATACATGGGGACCAGGTTGCGGCTAAAGAATGTTATTCAGTAACTTTAAAATCTGCTGGAAAAGGGAAAAATCCCATCCGTTCTGCCATTCCAAAATAGCAATTACAGAACCCTTCTCCCAGCAAGGATGGGGGGGAGGAGCCGCTAGTTCTGACCACAGAACCCCTTCATGAAGCAAAGATTGATCGTGGAAAACTAGACCAAACAACAAGGGTGGGCACCAAACTCACTGAAGAAGAGAGACTAGAGTTGACTAATTTCCTGATTCGGAATGCGGATGTATTCGCATGGAGCCATTCAGATATGCCAGGGATAAATCCTGCTGTATCCTGCCATTCCCTCAATGTGGATCCGAATGCAAAGCCAGTAAAGCAGAAGCAGAGAAGATTTGCTCCAGAACGAAACTAGATTATAGCTAAGGAGGTTGATAGGCTGCTTGAAGCCGGATTCATCAGAGAAGTTCCGTACCCGGCCTGGCTCTCTAACGTTGTTGTAGTGCAGAAGAAGAATGGAAAATGGAGAGTGTGCATCGACTTCACCAACCTCAACAAAGCCTGCCCAAAGGATAGTTTCCCATTGCCCAGGATTGATCAAATGGTAGATGCCACCACAGGATATGAGCGGTTAACTTTCCTGGATGCTTATTCCGGTTATAACCAAATTCCTATGGATCCAGTTGATGAAGAAAAGACTTCATTTATTACTGAACGAGGGACTTATTGCTATAAAGTCATGCCATTCGGATTGAAAAATGCTGGAGCCACTTATCAAAGGCTGATCAGCAAGATTTTTAAGGGCCAGATGGGCAGCACTGTCGAGGCTTACATTGATGATATGGTGGTCAAGAGTAAGAAGAAGAGCGATCATTTAGCGCACCTGCAAGATGTGTTCGATGTGTTGCGCCAGTATGGGATGAAGCTTAATCCGGCCAAGTGCTCATTCGGTGTAAGCTCCGTTCAATTCCTGGGACATGTGGTTAATCATAGAGGAATTGAGGTCAGCCCAGCACAGGCAGAAGCCTTGATCAGGAATGCAAAGCCAAAGACAATTAAAGAGGTGCAGGCACTCATAGGCAGGATAGCCGCACTTAGCCGATTTATTTTCAAGCTTTCGGACCACTGTAAACCTTTCTTTGATACAATACGAGGGCATGGAAGGCAAACCTGGGGGGATGAACAACGGCATGCACTAACCAGCCTGAAGGAGTACATGCGTAATCCCTCGGTTCTATCTGCTCCAGAACCAAATCTTTTTCTATATCTCGGGGTGTCCAGCATAGCAACCAGTGCCGTTCTGATCCGTTGCAAAGAGGGCAAGCAGTTCCCGGTGTTTTATGTTAGCAAGACAATGTCTGAACCAGAGAGAAGATACTCTAGGGCCGAACGAATGATCTTGTCGCTGGTCAACGCAAAAAGGAAGCTTAGACACTATTTTGAATCTCACCCAATCGTCGTTTTAACAACTTTCCCTTTGAGAATGATCCTGCACAAACCGGACCTGTCGGGGAGAATGACCAAGTGGGCCATTGAATTGAGTTCATTTGATATCACATACGAGGCCAGGACGGCAATCAAAGGTCAAGCGGTGGCGGATTTCCTACTTGACTGTGATGATGAAGATACGGTGGAGGATTGTAATTGTTCTTGGTGGAAGCTTTTCGTGGACGGCTCATCGAATCAAATGGGGGCCGGGATTAGAATTCAATTGCAAACACCAGAAGGAACTACGCTGAGCCAAGCGATAAGACTAGAGTTCAGCGCGACCAACAATAAGGCAGAATACGAGGCGCTGATAGCCGGGTTGAAGTTGGCTAAGGAATTAAAGATCAAGAATCTGATGGCTTATAGTGACTCGCAACTAGTCATTCGACAAGTCAATGGGGATTATGGAACCAAGGATGAGACTATGGAAGCATACCGAACTGCGGTTCTGCGTAAGGCGAAAGCCTTTGATCAGATCAGGTTTATCCAGTTGCCGAAAGAGTATAACGAAGATGCCGATCGCTTGGCTTGTAGCGCATCCAGTTCTGAAGATACTTTAGCTAGGGTCATCCCGGTCGACATACTGATCCAACCTTCCATTTTTGAAGAACTGCCTGATCCGAGCACTCAACATGTTAATGTCATACCATATGAGCCGAGCTGAATTGATCCAATCATGGCTTACATACGTAGTGGTACACTCCCCGAGTGTAAGGACGAGGCAAGAAGAATTAGGTCCAGCGCAGCAAAGTATGCCATTGTGCACGGTCAGTTATATAGACGCTCCTTCTCGGGTCCATATTTGAAGTGTGCTACCCCTACAGAAGCTAGACAGATTATGCCAACCATTCACAAGGGAGTATGCGGAAATCACTCCGGAGGAAGATCTTTCGCACACAAAGCAATGACACAGGGGTACTTCTGGCCGAACATGGCACGAGATGCAGAAGAATTCTCTAGAAGATGCGATAAATGCCAGAGGTTGGGGTCATTGATACATCAACCACCTAAAGACCTGCACGTAATGGCCACCCCATGGCCTTTCGCGCAGTGGGGGATGGACGTGGTTGGCCCTTTGCCGATTGCAAGATCGCAGAATAAGTACGTTCTGCTAACTACTGATTACTTCACCAAATGGGTAGAAGCGGAGCCGTACCCTAGTGTCACCCAAACTCAAGTAAGACGCTTCATCTGGAATAATATTATCTGTCGTTTTGGCATACCAAGGTCAATCGTGATGGACAATGGAACCAACCTCGATAGCAAGCAAGTGAGAGAGCTGCTAGAGGAATATGGAATCAATCAAATGTTAGCAGCAGTCAGTCATCCTCAGGCTAATGGTCAAGCCGAAATCACAAACAGGACAATATTTGCTTGTATCAAGAAAAAGATGGAGAATGAAAAAGGCAAATGGTTGGATGAGCTACCGAACGTCTTGTGGGCTTACAGAACAACCCCAAGACGGCCAACTGGTGAGAGCCCATTCGCTATGGCCTATGGCACCGAGGCGGTGATACCAGTCAAGCATTTAGTTCCAACTGTAAGGAGCTTGGCATGGGATCAAGAGCAGAATGATAGAATGCTGAGGTTCAATCTTGATTTATTGGAAGAAAAAAGGGATGCGGCTGCAGTGAGGCTCGCCTCTTATCAACAGACTCTCGTGAATAGCCATAACAAGAAGGTGAGGCACAGAGGTTTCGCTCCTGGCGATCTGGTTCTGAAAAGGAAGGTGGGAATAGTCAAAAAGATGTTCTCCCCATGGGAAGGTCTGTACAGAATAACAGAAGTCATTGGGAAGGGGGCATACGTCCTAGAAACTATGACAGGAAGGGTAGTCAATAAGCCATGGAATGCTATATCTCTGAAAAGGTACTACCAGTAAAAGTAGAGTTTAATTTCAAGCATATTGTACATTCTGAATTGCATGCTTGAAAGTGTATGAAATTTCCATGCTTTATAAAAAGCCTCTTCTTTGTTAAAAATCTACACCCTTCCCATTCAGCAAGTTAGTGGCAGCTGGCACTTAAAGCTGAACGCCAAACACTTGCTCAGAAAATGAAAAAGCCAAGTGGCAAGAGGTGTTCAGGCTGAGCGCCAGGCTTTCAGCAAGTTAGTGGCAGCTGGCACTTAAAGCCGACGCCAAACACTTGCTCAGAAAATGAAAAAGCCAAGTTGTAATACCCCAAATTTTAAAAAGGATAGTCTCGGCATTTTCAACATATTTATTGTATTGCCTTTTAATTTATTTTATTATCTTTATCGCATTTTTATTTAATTGGTTATTTGAAATTTGAATTAAATTGTTTTATGTGATTATTTGGTTTAATTGTTGTTTACCTATGTGTCATGTGTTTTAAATTGAATTAAGTGTTTTTAATTATTTAATTGGGTTTTTAACTGGAATTAATTAGTTAAGCGGATTTAATTATTTAATTGTTTTTTATTTAATGCTGTGTTAAGTTACAGTTAACTTTGGGGTTGGAAATTTCACATTTAGGTAAGCCGTAACAACGGTAGTTTCATGGGTCGACTAGGTTTAGAATTAGGGCTCTGTCTCTGATTAAACACGGATTAGGGTTTATGTTTTTACACCTATATATATATGGTCACTCTGTATCAAGGGTTGGAAAAAAAACCCTATTCACGTACCAAAGATACAGAGAGGGAAACAGAGAGCAGTTGTGGGGAAAACAGAGTGAGGCTTAAGAGGAAGTGTACAGAGAGGACCAAGGAGGTATTAGGAGGCTAGACAGTGTTGCAGTGGTTACCGGACGTTGGGAAGACGGCGACAAGTTTTGAGTCCAAAACTTCAGGCAAGTTCTTTTCT